TTTCCTTTTTGTCTTTTTTCGTGTCCGGCAACGGATCGCAACCCTCAGTGTCGCGCCCGTACCGGACCGGGACCGGCAACGGGATTGCAACCCTCGGCGCTGCGCCCACACCTCACTCAGCCAGTGAGCGGGAACCGGTCTGTATGTGGGATCCGAACCCTCGGCAGGAGCGCCGCCGCGCTCCTAAGTGGCCACCATTTGCTTTTTATAGGCGTCCACACTCAAATTCAATTTGTGAAATTCAGTTCGCAGTAGAATTCCGTGTGCCTCCCTGCCACAGTGTGGAGGTTTAGCATCATCATTTAACAGCTCTGCCATTTAACTATCACCTCACTTCCATCATTCCTTTGCCTAAGTGTGAATTCATTTTTATCTCAAGTAACCCATGCAGCTGGATTTTCTTCTTTTGTGGAGGTATCTCAAGTAAATTTTTCCCAGAAAACCATACTGGTTTCAGTTTTGCTATATGTACAGTTTAAGATGAATTTTAAAAAATACTGAATTAATATTCATTTCAATTACCCCTTCACATTATAAATTCTAGCTATTAAAATATAAGCAAGATGACTTGGGTGTGTGTGTGTGTGGTGTTCAGTCTTGCATGATTGTGCAGAAAGAACAAAAGCACAAAAGTTAGGAACAGCAGAAGTCCTAGATATCAAAAAGTGAGTTGTTTACAGCTAGACTACTTTTACATACACCTGCTTTTAATTTTTTTTTTCACATTAAAGTGATTAAAGCATTTATCTTGAAAGTTACTATTAGGCACAACAAGTTGCAAAAAAAGAATGATTTAGGCATTTTACTCCTAAGGGCAGACTACTCAAACCAAAACATGCAGCATGTAATTTTTGGTAGGATTTGCAAGATTTACATTTAGAAGTAAGTAAGTTCTTTATTGCAATAAAGCATTTAGATTACTATTTGACGAGGGAAGGGTGGTGGGGAAGGTTTTTCTTCCTCCTCAATTTTATATTTCTTTTTCAGTAGAATTAGTATGAGTTCAACATAATTTTCATCGAAAAGCATTCATCAGATTAATAACTACATATTGTAGACTCTTGGTTTCTTATTGTAAAAGCTTCATGATTAACTATAGTTTCCAAAGTTTTAGTTTCTTTTGGATCAATTTTTCTTTACAAGATTTTTCATTTGATCAAATATTGGTCATATAAACATCAAACAATTTACGATGGTGAGTATATGAATCTATAGATTGGGTAAGAAAGCAAACTGAGATTTTCATTAAAATTCTATTACTGAATGACTGGCTAGAAGAACATTTTTTACTGAAAATTTGAAAGGAAATGACTTGATTACCCAACAAAAAATTTATAAAGGAAATATTTACGTAATAAATATCATGCATTCATTAAAAAAATAATAAAGATGATGTGGCAATGTAGGAACTGCTTATTATATAATGACAAGTACAAACTCAGGATAAATTATGTGTACATTAAAATTTCAGCAATATAAAAGTTGTATACATATTAAAGCATGGAAGAAATTTTTTAAAGATGATACAAGTTGTTCTTTTCTGATATCAGAGGTCATTGTTTTCTTCTAACCTACAACTTTATGTAATAATGATATATTGGTTTTTACAGTAAGAAAATTTCTTCCACCTTACTAATAGGCTTTTCCTATATATTCCTATATGGAATGCACACCGTTTGAATCCAGGCCAGGTATACTGTGCTGTTAAGTATCATGCCGTATTATAAGTGCCCTGCCATGCCATACCATACTGTACCATCAAACCAAATTATTTTGTGTAAATTGGAAGGACTGTTTAGTCATAGGACTTAAAGAACCAGTGACCAAGATTTAAATCTGAAGTTATTTTTTGTTATTTAGCTTGGGAATTTGTAGGAAAATAATCTCAGGTCTCCAGTTAGGAGATGCTTGAACAATTCATTTATTTGTAAATTCCAAGTAAAGTCTCCATGTCTTCTTAACTTTAGGGCTGTATATAATTCTTTGCTGTTTCATTTTAATTATTGTGGTTTTAGAACATGACTTTTTCCCCTACCACTTTGAAGCATGATTTTTTAATAGCTGCATTATATTACAAAGTCTGTATATTCAATAAAATATTTAACCATTCCCCTACAGTTGGATTTTTTTATTTTTTCCATTTTTTCTATAATTATATATTTTTGAAGCTTAAAACTCTTTTACATGAATCACAGGCTGCACTGTTGTTTATTTTGTTGTGATAGATACCTAAAATTTTAATTTTTGAGTATGAACACTTGTATACCTATGTATACGTAGTCCTAATCTCCTTTAAATTCTACCATTAATTTTGAATTTTTATTATATTTATTTCATTGGCTTTATTCCATTTTTTTTGGTATTAGAATGTCTAGTTCCTTTGTTTTTCTTCTTTCTTGTTTAATAATCAAAGCTTTAAAGGGTGTGAAGTTGCCTCTGTTTATAGAGGCAGTTTGTAGGGCTGCTTTCTGAAGGGTTAATTGTGTTTGAATTTTATCTTTGCCTTAAAAGTTTTTCAGAATTCCCTCGATTGTTTTTATTTTTTAGACTTCTGCTATTAATTCTTTGAATATTGCACTGAGATCAGAGAGTGGGTTGAATTGCTCATATATTCATTGAGAATTTTTTTATCAGCTATTGTATTATTAATTATGGATCTTAGAAACTTTATATTCTATCAAGCTCATTTATTTTTATATATTTTA